CGTCCCCCGAGGCTTGACCTCGTGGCTGCTTCTGGCTAACCGATAACAGCTGCGCCAGTGTCCTCGTGTCCTTCGGCTTTCCGGCGGCCCCCACAGTTGACCTCAGCTTATTCTGTCAAGCACACACGTGCGCACACACCCGCGCATACATACGCGTTCAAATAAGCCCGCCTGCCTGAAGGACACTTGAATAATCCACCCCTCCGCTGATGCAGCAAAGACCTCTATAGGCGACATCCTCTCGGGAAAATTGCAGCACACCAATAGCAAACCACTTGAACCTGCTTCATAATCCTACTTAAGCAGCTGCCACCACTGTCTCACTGTCTCTCAGGACTGGCTGGACGCAGTCAATACTAGCTCTGGGTTCGCCAGTGGCTACTACCGCCTGAGACAGCAAGAGGGAGTTCTGTACACAAAAAACTGCTCCCACGGGTGCCTTGTGCCTTTCAACTTCCAACCTGGGATTCGGCCTGATGATTGTAGCTATCAGATTAGACCCACTACTTAGACCGCTACCATCGCTTCATTTGACATCTCGAAAGTTAGCGCGTCAGATATATCGCAATGAGAATTTTTCTGAATTAACAAGAGAATGTATGTCAAAATGTAAAGCTTCGTCTCTCTTCATATATACGTCGATCGTCCGAGGCTGTTGAGCAACGAGGGATCAAGGTCGATGCAAAATGCCTCCTCTATGCGTGTCGCACACGGTCTGGGCCTAATTTTATGTGTACCAGGTTACAATCAATGTGACGCGGACCCCACATACACATGAGCGCCATAATGGCCTCATTAAGAGCAAATTGCAGACCTGCAGCCATAATAAAATACTCCCATAACGACTGATTTATATTGTTAGTAAGTAACCTTTCAAGCCATGGCATATAGCACGTTAGTCGGCGCCTGTTGCGTTTCAAAGGCTAAGAATTCCCAAAGGCTCAACCCCTGTAGCCCACATTTTGATCTAGCGCAACTGTACCGAGGCCTTTGGGTTTAAGAACAAGGGCTTTTTAACAGCTGCTTCGACAGATATCGTACTATAGTTCTTTGTTTAACAGTTGAAAGGCATCAGACAATTATGGGGTCTTATGTATAGTCGCCTCATATCTTCCTCTGTTTCTGAAAGGATATGTAGTGGCTCAACTCAAAGGGCATGATGCAACGAGCTTGTTGGACTAATAAAAACTACTTGTGCCTGTGAACCATTAGCGGCGACGAATTCTGTCTGTCGTTTCCAGCCAATCATCTGCAAGGCAGACTAAATGATGACACCAATGGAGGCGCTATGACGACGTCCCATGTTCACGCATTTCGGAAGCTGCCCTCTTCTTTTTTGACTACTAAATTCTTTCAACCTCTCCTCTACTAGTTCTGTGCTGTCGCGATCTTTCTCCTAGCAACCCGCGCCTGAAAAACATAGTGGCTACAGCCTTCTCTACTAACTTCAGTCTCTGTGATGGCTTCACCATAAAAACCCCAATGAACAATTTCTCACGGTGAGCTGCCATTTGAAAAGCCAACATCGTTTGGGAGTCTAGAGTCGTATTACTGCTGTTTGTGCTTGCGATAGACAGGCAATAAACTAAGCCCTTCAGGCAATTCGAGCAGTCGAGAGTCTTCCGATATGGGTAGTTATTGGCTCACTGTTCGCAGATGCATGAAACGGCAAAATAAGCTTATGTAGGCCCACTCATATAGCCCTAGTTTCAGCATTTGTCCTGAAAAAACGGTGGTTATAGAGTTCTGAGGGGCGGGTAAATAGGATAGGCAGAGAAGGACATTTTTAGAGGCAAGTGTCAATTGAAAATAGTACTCGAAGTTGCTTCCCGCGGCCGCTGGGATTAAGTTGTTTCGCATGTAAACTGAAGGTGTGCGCGGCGCTTCGTGCCGCGGACTATACTAGCTAACTCCAGAACGGTAAGTTGGACCTCAGGTAAGTTGAAGTAGACGACCTCTTAACCACCATTTCAATTTTTCGGGAAATTCAAGAAACCTGCAATTCGATGATCGGGTTTTCCCGGCAATAAGTTAAACGATAATACAGGTTAGGGAAATTTACAGATAAATACAGTAAAATAAAAATGCATTCAGCATTTATTAAAATGTATTCAACTGCGTGTCCTAGTTCCCCACCCACAAAACCCTATAACCACCGTTTTCGTAGGAAAACATACAGGGAGTAGGGATTAATGAGTGGGCCTACGTAAGCTATTGTTGCCCATGAAACATTCGCCGAATAAACTCGCAGTGAAAACGAATAACAGTTTTACCATCGCGAATGATGGCATTCACAGGGTTTCCCACAGTAGAATGACTAAAGGGAAAATAACTTGCGTGTAAATCATAGCCCGGGGCCAGAAAATGTCTAAAGTGATTTTCGCAGGCCCATTTTGCGCATTTTTTCTTCAGTAACAGCGTGTTTGAAGCACGAAAAAATTAGCCCACAGATGTTGTTCTCCCCACTTGTGGACATTCGTTTAACCGCAAAATCGACTCGTATCAGGCCTCTCACTTACCGGTCATTCGGAATCGCGCATAGTACTGACAGTATATATATGCATTCTACTCACAACAAATAAGTAGGCATTTACATTTACACTTCTTAGTTTGTCCTTCGACTGCTCATTTTTCACGTGCATATGTCTATACAACGTCTTTTTAAATCTTCCCTGTGCACATAAGCTTTTTCTTGGACGATTTTTAAACAGTACGGACGTCAGATACTTTGCCTACCTTATCCTTATTAAATTGAGCCGAACTGTCTAGACTTAACAGTTGCTTCAATATGAAAACTACCTAGGGAACAATCTTCCCACGTAAAGAACAGTATGCAAAACCAAATCTTGAACAATAATTTTACCTATACGTAATATCTTTATCGATTGGTCGTAGGCTGGCTGTCCGGTCGTTTGGAAACGCGATAAATGACTCCCTGAAGGCTGCCAATTCTACTGTGCTGAGATGTGAACAAAATGTAGCCAATCGGGTTCGCAGAGTTGATGCGTTGATAACGGCCATTCTTGGGCAGCTTTTGATGCAGTCGAATTTTACGGAGTCAGTACATTGTCCTGTCTCGTTGGCAATGTGCGGAGTTATACCTTTTCCATTGAGAACAATATAGCATGGTTGATGTTGGTTATATGCGGATACCATTTCTTTTAAAGTCGAGGAATGCTAATGGTTGTCTCAGACTGTTAGAAAGGTAATCATCATCGGTGTTACGTATATTACCGCGCACATTCTGAGGGTTCTGCAAATTACCCAAATTCTTACGATATTCTATCTTCCGGAATGTGTTTATAGTTAAAGCTGACGGTCCTCTTATCAGAAAACATGCCTTACATACTCCCCATATTTCCCATATTTTTGTTCATTAGCGCAATGTAATTCATTAAGTCCAAATGTGTAATGTTGACAACTGGTGCTTTGAACTAGTCTGGATCAGGAACTCTGTTATTTCGATTCAACTGTGCTAATTCACATATTCATGGAAGTTGGAATTTCTGCCAGTTTCAAGTTCACTTTCCACAGATGACCTTCATACTCAAGGTTCTCAACCGGTTTAGGGCAGCATTTAAACTATTTAATACACTTTTTATCGTTTCGACAAAAACGCATTCATGTGAAGTTGTCTGTAACAATCCTTATTACTGTATTTTTTGCCCTCTCTAGATACCCCGTGCGTCAACCTTAGTATGGAATAGCCTCAAAGACTGAAACCATAAGAAAAGATGAAAACTCGAAGGTTATGTATCATTCGACCAATGTATATGATAAACATTTTCGTGTTGACCGTTTACTTTATCCGTTCTCATAGCAAAGGGCACATGCTTTATAATCGACCTAAATAAGTCCCCCTGTGTGCATAAGTCATGCATTACCTAATGGGGTTTCAATCTCTGAGGTTACCAAATACATCTAAGAATGGCATCAAATCAACGCATTACAATTCCAAATGAAAGCTTTAGTTTTCTCATGTTTTCAGTTAGAATGGCCTTATAATGCAAATAGCTGCCTTTTGATTATGCCGAATAGAAGTAGGCGAAAACTCAAATACATCCGTCCATTCAGTAATTCAGCCAATACAAAAAACGCAGAAAACTAACCATCATTGAATTTGGTTACCGGTTTGCGTGTTTGTACAACGCCCTCGCCAAATAGGGTCACAAAGTCCTCGAAAATAACGACGTCCTTCATTTTTCGTCTGCTGGCTACCTTTCCCACGACAAGCACGCGTTGTTTTATGCGGAACACACCTGCCGTATAAAGAAAAACATATCAAAATTTGGTTCTTGAAGAATCCAACATGGACACGGCCAGTTAACAACTTACCTTGCTGCTTTGGAAGAAAGTTAATGGTTATTCGAACGCTCTTTCCTGGTTCGATTACACCTGCGGCCGGTTCAGGTACAAAGTGGGCAACCTTTGGCAGGATAAATTTGATTGGCAGCTCACTACTTCCATTGATAAACCTGAGGTTCTGCGACCGACTTTCTCCAACGACGCACACACCATATTGCAGATCTAGGGATTCCCTGGCTCGACCCTCGTCGTTAATTCCTTTCGTGTTAGGATCAACCTGTTCGTCCTCATTTGTGTCAGGTCCGAAATCTCTGTGAATATGGAGCTCCACGGGAACAGCTTTTGTAATTACTATGACCTGGGCGGTTGAGGTAATGGACTGACATTGTAGAGTTGCATTTGCCTTGTCTGAAAGGTACGGTAAACGAAAACGCATATTTGGAAGAACGGAACCCAACTAATCGTACTTCACAATCACCACCACGAATTAAATACAATTCTTTATAACGGTGTTATAACTCATTAATGACATTTGGAAACATGAAAACATCTAGGCAGACATAAATTTAATCTTCAGGTTAAACAGGTTTAACCGAAAAACGTGTTACGCAAGTAGAAAGTGCTCAGAGAAAGACCGACCAAATCCAATGGGCTGCAAACAAATGTGGAATATCCTTTTCAGTTTGTTGGCCAACGACGCCAGGCACCAGAAACCCTTTCGATTTTTCGGTTGTGATGGAGAACATTTAAATCGTAAGAGAATCTTTTGAAGAGGTTCAATTTTTCCATAGGCTGGGAAGACGGTTATCCACGAAGGTAGCGAACTAGAGTCTACATCATTTCGCTAAAATTTAAAAGGATATTTGCCAGATCCCATAAGTCAACTCATAAACCGGCAGCAAAAATATGGCTTTCTAGTTTATCGCCTTACGATTTAGGACTAAAAATATTAAACTAACGTATTCTCCTCGAAACTGCATGAAGTGTTATTTGCGTGAATAAGCGATGAGTAACCAAAAACTCAGCTTTACATAGGAAAAACATTATTTAATAAACCTGTGGGTTTGGGCTGTTTGCTATGTGTAAATAAACAAACAATTAGCATGTTTTATATCCAATAGCGATATCTTCTTTTAAGGTTGTTTCAACGCAACTTGTAAATGTTTTTGGCGAAAAATAAAACTTGTGAATAAGAAGTCTGACTAAAACGCATTCTACATGGCTATGACACATACTTTTGATGATTACACGACTTGACAACTTGTATACTTGAATTGGGTACCGTCTGCTAGCATAAATTTCCTTCGATGAAGTTACAAATGAAAGGAAGCACTCCAACTTCTAAGGTAAGCTCTCCTTAAAGCTCGACGGTTCAACTTACACAAACGTTCCATAACGTATTAATAATTTGTGAATGACAGTTGAAATCTCATATTCTTTATGCACCATAGTATGGGCACGAGCACATATGAACCAATCACTATAAATATGCATATTTAAATAACTTAAAATGTATCCATAAAACTGTGTCAAGATCCTCAAAATATCAGTCAGTATAACTGATATTATTATATTTACTTCTTCTGCCACAAGGACCATTGAGATGTCTTTAGTACATTTTGAAACTAGATTACGTACGTAACATTCTAATGTGTTTACATGCAGTCAGATTTGCATTTTAGTGAACGTTTTTCACCCATATAAGTAAATATGTGAATGTTGGTTTTCATAACGTTTCGGTTGTTATCGACTAGAAGTGCATTTAGATAATATAAATTTATTAAAAGATGTTCAATAAGTTTATTACTTGATCATACCTCCAAGTTCTCATTCAGAATTTCTTAAGTGCATCTAGACTGTGTAATATAACCAACTACGAAAAACTTAAATTCTAAGCAAAATCATAGGTCGTACAAACCTTGTGCATCGAGGTCGCAGTTTCTTCTACGATGGACTCAAATTCGATCGGTAATATAGACGCGTTATGTAGGAAGCAATGGTATGTTGACTCGGAACCATAATATGTCGACGGGAATGAAATTTTCAGTAATGGCTTATCAGCAAATCCTTCAAGATAATTCATAATCACAAGGACGTACCACGAAGCTCAGTTAATACCAGCCTTGGTTCAACAACAGTTCCACGAACAGCAACTTCAGCTTCTTTGTGAGAGTCAAAAGTAAGCCTAAAAATATTTTTCCTGCAAAGATGCGTACTTGAAAGTCTCATTCAATGAAAGTGGGCGGGTGGTCGCGATGCACACCTCATAAATTAAAATACCAATTTTAACTTACAGGGAGTTCGACGATCTCGGCAGCATTAACAACTCCGTTTAAGTTGGGTATGTTCAATAAGGATTTCTCATTCAGGTGAACACAGTAACGTTCATTTTTCGTTCCGCAGTTTTGAATATGAAATATATGTGATATAATTTTGTTTGCGACAGGTAAAATGCCAAAATCGATTTCATTTGGCAAAACTATCCGTGACCTTGGTGGCTGACTATACAGTGCAAAATATAAAAGAATCCAATAGTATTCTTACGCATTAATCGGTATCTTGAATTGGTCGTTATCGATAATAAGTATGAGTTCGTCATTAAGTTCAACATCTTCCGTGAAAAGCACTTCAACAAAACAGCTCAACTCTAGTCCTGGTAAAACTTTCCTTGGCTCGTGTTTCATTATTTTAATAAACTAGCAGAATATATTTTGAAGTAAAGGAAACTAGAACGTTTTACTTTGCTCTTAGGTGAAAACATTCTTATAGTTTTCGGTGCCGGGCCAACATTTTTAAAAGTAATCTTTTTTACATATTTTACTTCAGTAATGCAATTATCAAATAAAACAGGTGATGGTTCAATCCGAATTCCGGAAAGCTCGGCGGTGCCCATTTGTCTGCGCACCAGCGTCAGTTGTTAAACCGAAATAGGCTCTTTGTTTCAAACAAACAAACTGCAGAATTGTTGAGTGCGTACTATTGGTTACAAAGGAAGTATAGACGATTCTCTACGACGCGCCACTATCTTTCTTTAAGAATCGCAGGTTAACCAGGACTTATAGGACAAAGACAAACTTCATAAATACAAGGGTAGTGCCAGCCGCCTTAAAGGGTGTGGCACGGGCGTGGATGGAGAATTTAAAGAAAATCGAAGACTTTTAAAATATTTTTTTGTGTTAAATTTCCAAAATATCTATTTTATTTTGATGTGATGTACATGCAAAGAATACCGGCCAACATTCTGACTTTAGTTTATTGATCCCTAAAGTACTGTAGGTCGTTAAAATCGCTCCTTTTATTGTGTGAATGTGGTAGTGAAAAACCCCATTCTGCTACTCGCAGACTTCCAAATAAGTTAGTTTTATAGAAGGAGAACTATCATAACATTATGCAAATATTAATGTGCGTGGCTATACTGCGGCCAGGCTTAATGTCTGGGCAGATATTCCAAACAATTTGTATACTAGCCATGTAGTGATACACTCAGCGTCCTTTTATTTAAGTGTTTATCCCAAAGTAAGATGCGCTTTGGTTATTTGAGGGTGCTAAAATGACTAACAACGGGTTAATGAGTAATTTTATCAGCACAAGTTTTCAAGGGTGTCTGAAGCATAAGAAGTTATCAAACCAGTCACCAGATCAAATTCAATGGCATCTGACTTGGTTAAAACAAAACGAGTGCAGTAGATGTACAGCTAGAGCGAAATTACTACAGAACAGTATTAAAACCTTCGCGTTGAAAGATGCTTACACAAAGGCTAATATCACATGTGAATGACCGTGTAGAATTACTTATCGGAAGTCCCACAAGTTCAAGGACAAAATATATTAGCCAATTTATATATTTATTTCGGGATAATTGGCGAAACCCTTGATGATTCAGTGATTTCTAACCGCGATGATAACCGTAATTATATATTCTCTAATAGCCTCAGTCTGTCAGAGCACTGTGCCCTGACAGTCTCGAAAGCACGCCGAACTACCGGATTTATTCTCAGATATCTTAAAACAATCACATTTAGAACTAGCCTCTATATTATGTACGTCAGACCTAGTCTCTAATATTTCTCGTTCCTATTTAGCCCCCTACGCGCTAGTGAACCGAAAATCGGTCCAGTACTTCTTCACGAAAAGATTTTGCCCTTCAGAACGCTTCAACTTATCCTACGAACAACGTTGTGAACTTATTAAAGTCGGTCTCTTGTGGCTTCGCAGATTACAGAAGAGACAATTTTTACTATTTAAAATTTTTAACGCCCGTATTTTTAATCCCCTCTGCACCATGAGGCAGCTAAACAACTCTTGGCGCGCCAGTCATCGATATGTATTTTTTATTTCTTACTCTGGCACTTACAGTTAGATAACTGCATTTTTTCCGTTAACGTCATGGCAATCTGGAATAAGCTACCCAGAAGTATTAAAACTCAGCAAAGCTATCCTTTGTTTAAGAGAGCTATTACTAGTTTTCTATATTCAGAACAACTTTCGGCAATTTAAGGTGCTGACTCGGTGGAATCTCTCTTTTACTCTGATAGTGTTCGTGGACTTTGAACTCTGCCAGGCCTCGTGCTGAGGACAATGGTGCTGAACATGCGGCCCGCAATTGGCCAAAATTTCAGCCGACAGCTAGCAACTGTTCGCCGACACACATTCCTGTGGTGCAGAATCTCGAAACCATTACGCTCAAAGAAGACTGAGGACACGGTGTTCACCTATCAGCCCTCCCCGTCCCGATCTACACTCACTGAATGAGCTGCTGTTTTTTCCGCAATATTGTCAACACGATCAATAATTGTAAATATTTGCGAAAAGTACCATTGAAAATTTCAGAAGATGAAATGGCGAGCATACGTTTGTTTTCGATAATTCTCATCAGGATTTTACATTTATATGGTAATTAAGCAAATGAAGAATGCGGGTTGGTAGAAAAATAGAACTGTTGTCAGGGTCCTAAGTTTTGCTGTCCCCGTCAGACACCCAACCAACTAGAGCTGGAAACACAGTTTGAGAATCTGCTGAATCAAGCCCATGACCTTCAGCCACTTTCGACCGAGGGTTTACAGCAATTTAAGTCTACTCTAGTTAACTTTTCTTATCAGTATTTAAACAGTGGCCAGATACATTGGGGTCTGCTAACGAAGGCACACATGGAGAAATTGAAACTCCTCCGGCAGAATAAAGATATACTCATCACGAGGCCAGATAAGGGAACGGGCGTTGTTCTAATGGACAGAACAGATTACATTGTTAAAATGCAATCCATTCTGTCAGACAAAGACAAGTTTAGCAAGACAGAAAAGGAGAAAGATAACACTGATAAGGTTGAAACGCAGTTGACTGAATGCCTTAAGTGACTTCAAAAGGACGGTATCATAAGCGAATACGAACTAGAACGTCTCCGCCCCGTTGGCACGCATGTACCTCGACTGTACGGTTTACCGAAGATTCACAAAGATGGCATACCCGTTCGTCCCATCCTAGATATT